ATTACTGAAATAAATGAACTTTGTCATGATATTCTAATTTATTGAGATGCACCTGTAATATCAGAGCAACCTGGTCTGGCTGAGACCGGGCAACCACAACATGCTCTGGTTTGACCCTGCCTGGGGACCTTTTGTTGCACTTTCTCTCCCTGTGTTTCCTGTGTCTCTAACTGCTAACTATCAAATAAAGGCGAGAATGCCAAAAAGTAATCTGTAAAAACACAAGGGTTTGGGTAAGGGCATGCTAACAAAGCTTGGATCAGTCAGATGTAGTGGTTAAAGTCTTGTAACAGAAGTTGAATCTCTGTCTCTAGGTGCACTACGATGAGTTCATCCCCATGTTTGAAGAGCAGTACCCACAGTATCCGTGGAAGGAGGTGGAAGTAAGTGGGAATCTTTAGCCTGTTTCAACTTTTTCAAGAACTTTTTAAAATAAGGAACTAGACCTACATTTTGACCACAAGAACATGTCCAATTTTATTTCCTGAGCTGCACCTCCTGCCTTTTAACTAAACCAGACTGATAATCGTCAAAAAAATGTATTGGTTGGCTTCCCTTTCTTCCTTCTCCTACCTCTCACAGGCGGAGTTGTTTAAAGCATTCTTGGAACTCTTCCAGGCAGCTTCGGCTCGACCAGCTCCTTATGGTATTTGTCCCTACCCATCATCCCGGGCAATCTATGCTGTAGACCTCATGTTGAAGTGGAGTACAGGGCAAAATGGTGAGCATTTGTTCTATACTTAATTCAGTTGCAGGGTTAACAAACATCTACTACTGCTTTGAGCCTCAGCTCTGAAGAGGTTTCAACTTATAAGAGGTTAAGGGTCTTTTTCCATGGGTCAGTTTCACTCTTGGGAGGACTTTTAAAGCAGCACTCGCACAATAACCCAAACAAACTAAGTGATCGAAGCAGCAACTAAAAGCAATACAGTTTTTGTCAATGGAGTCCGGTAACTTTGAACATAGCAATATAACAGCCGCTGGTTAAACAGAAAGGATCTCACTCTTTAACAAAAAGGTTTATCTCTGCAGGAATCCTTTCCATAATGTTATCAGACACTTAGAATCACAATCAGAGCCTGTCAGTGGCAAAAACAAGCACTGTTAGTGAACATACTTTGACTGTGCACAATTGCCCTAAAAGGATTTTACAGGCCGGTTTGCGGCTGCTGGCTGCAGTGCTCTCGCTCAATACTGGACAATTTGTTGTCCACATTAGTCGCTTAGACACAAACACGTTGGAAAATAACGTCCAAGTTATAAAAAAGAACAACAGTCTTTCAGTCACATATGATAAAGCACCACTGTGTATCTAGCTAGTGGTGTAGTTTCTGATTGGTACTACGGTTGCCACGAAAAAGACCCCATCCAGAGCCAGTGTTTGGTTTGTTCGTTCTGGGCTACTATAGAAACATGGCAGTTCCCCATTGTCCTCCCTCTGTAGATAAAAATGGATCTTTCTGAGTCTTTTTGTTTCTTAATTTGTGTGCTTTCTGATCCTGGGTCAGGTGAGCGGGTCATGCAGCCTCAGATCCTGGAGTTGAACTTCAGCCCAGACTGCGCCCGGGCCTGCCTCTACCACCCCTCCTTCTACAATCACATGTTCCAGACGCTGTTCCTGGATCAGCCTGAGCACTGCCCGGTCACACAGATTGCATAATCAACTCAACAGCATAGGGGAGTGTCTGCAGTCATATTTTTCCCTCAATACTTTTCCATCTTCTTTCACACTTCCTCTATGGATCTGTTTCTCTGTTGGTTTGTCAGTTTGTCGTTTGTTGTTTGTAGCTCAGTTTGTCATAAACCCAGTTGCCTTTTTTCATTTCAGTGCAATGATTACAAAGTTATTCGCAATACTGCTTGTGTTGGTGATCCAAACCAGAACGCTATTGTACAAATGAGAAGCAATAAAAACAATGTTGGATAAACTCTAGTTGTATCATAAATGATTCTGGGACAAATAACTCTTGTTCTTGTTCATTTACCTCTTTTCACCTGCCACCTTCCTATTAGTTCTGTCTTGCCTTGTTGTTTCACATGTCTCCTCCTCAAGAAAGTCCAAGAGTGTGCGGAGCCCCAGAAGTCCTCGTGGCACAGAGAGTGGGGCATAGTGTTAGCTGCAGGAGTTGGAGAGGAAATGAAGAGGGTGAAGGTGAAAGAGAGAACACTCAGACCAACACAGAACAGCATGTGCTTGCTTGGAAATAGGAAAGTGTAAGTGAGCAGTCATCTACAAATAAGGACATATGTTTCTGTATGGTTGGAAATAGGCTTTCCATTATTGCCTTCAATGGATAGTGACAGCTGAAGAGTGAGAGATAGATAGCCATAGGTTTGAGCATTTGCCACAAGTCGGACTCAAACCTATGGCTGCATCCACTGCAGCAAGGACTCAGCCTTGGTACATGCCAACAGGTGAGGTATCTGGAACACCACAAGCTGCAATTTGAAACATATTTATAATGCACAAAAAATCACAGTTAACACACACACA